AAGATGGAGGGTCAGAGAAAAAGGGGAAAACCCCCAACGAGATGGATCAGCCAGGTAGCATCATTGATGGTGTCAAGTGTGGCAGTAGTATTGAGGTTGGCCCAGAATCGGACATTGTTTCATTCTGCTGTGCATGGGGTCGCTCTGAGTCGGTTCCAACTCAATGGCACCTGACAACAACAACAAAAGTGCTGTAATTATGATTACACAAAATATAGTTTCTTTTTCAAGTATTCATGTATGAAAAGCTAATGCAACTAAGTTTTTGAGTGGTCATTTCTTGTTTTTACAATTATAGGTACTTATATTCTTCTTTCATCTTTTTTTTATATATAACTTTTCATTATGAATTGAGTGAAGGTTTACAGACAGTGCTATCAGTTTTATATCTAACAAATCATATATTTCCTTTTATGATTGCAATTCTCTTAATATACCATCGCATCCCACTTCCTCCCTATGATTCTTGTTTCCAGTCCTTCTGAATTGCTGCTCCTTTGATCTCCAATGGTTGACCATTCTATACAAACCTCACTGTTGTTGCCTCCTCATATGCCTATTTACTGCTTGGCTGTTCTAGACCTGGAAAGTTACCAAGGGCCATAGTGTTGGCGTTCTTTCACTCTCTTTTTCACTAGTCAGAATTTTCAGTTTTGTTCCATGTTTTCTTCCACTCTATCCAGTTACCTTCTATTGTGATTCCTTTTAGAGCTGTTGGTAATGGTAGCTGGGACCATCCAGTTCTTGTTTCAGGGTCATGGAGGTTGATGTTCACGTGATCCATTAGTCCATGGTAGTTTCCAGACATCTTCAGTTTTCATCACACTGCTTTTCTCTGCACATAAGAGACCATAGTTTTGCATGTAGTAGCTCAAAGAGGGAACAGATCTTTACAACGAGGATCAGTCCCACTCCCTCCATACACAGAATAGAAAGGGATGGGCAACTTGGACATTGGATACCCAAAATGGGGGGGCTATAAAAGCAAGAAGTGACTGGCTTACAAGCTTTTAAGAGGGAGCCTAGATCCAGAGGGCACAGAAGAAGGTAGAATCTCCACTGAATGGTTTCCAATCTGCCTGGATGGGGCTGATGAAAGGAGATGGAGATAGGACTCTTGTGGTTCAATAGTGAATAATTGCTACCAGGAATGACTGAGGGTTGGAAATGTAAATGTGGGCGTTTTGTAGCAAAAGGAGAGGAGTGGTTGACTTTGCAGTCTAGGAGCAGAGGTCCCTGGGACTATCAAGGGAGAAGAGCAGAGTGCAGGACCCTACTCAGAGAAACAGTGACGCCAGAGATGGAGGCAGAGACGATGACATGGAGGGATGGAGGAGCTGGGGACTCTAGATCCAGAGAGGGAGAGGGGCTGTGTGCTGACGACCAGGGGGCAGGTTTTGTAGGGTATACTCTGATTGTTTGATGATGCATGGAGGGGATTGTAATCATGACACTAAAACAGTCTACGATAGGATGACTGTAAAGCTAATGTTCTCCCATGTGAACTATCACATAATTCACAATAAAGCATTAAAAAAAAAAAAAAAAAAGACCGTAGTTTTACTTTAGATGTCCGCTTACGAGCTTTTACTATCCCAGCCTACAAAAACCATGTGGTGACCATGTCTGACTTCCTCTGACTTCACAAGGATAAAGAAGAATCAAACTCAGTATCAGCCTAAGGCTGATTCCTATGAAGTGTTAGTCACTCATGCCACCAGCCTACAACCTTCTTTACCCTGTTCTGATACCAGCTATCCCACAGCACTCTCTGCTTCACATCTGGGTTTGATAACCCATTGTAATGGCCACAGAGAACTCATAACAATACTCAGTGATTATAGGGTTTATTAGGAAAGTGAGCAGGTTACAATTCAGGATCAGAAAACAACTCAAGATGCAGCAGTTTTCTAATCAGGAATGCCTCTTCTCTGCAGACGTGTTTCACTCTTGTCTTTGGCTTCTCAGCCATGTAGTCCCTTGACCTCTGCCATGCTTGGACAAATGTTACAAAGCTCTTTTAGCCAGTCTGTGAATGCCCAAAGGTCACATTCTACAAGCCAGTCTCCTACCCATAGGCACTCAGGTTTACTCAGTCCCTGGACCTAGACCCCTGAAGCTCCTCTGTCTCTCCATGCTACCGCCTCTGTCATCTCTACTTTTCTAGGTAGGGATCTCACGCTCCACTCATGCTCTTCTTTCCTGATGGTCCTGGGGTCATTTGTTCCTACTTCTGAGATGTTGTTGTTTTGAAGAGGCGTGCTGATCTTGGGGTACAGTGCTTATTCTACAGTACCTGGATGGCAAAATTAACCAATCCCAGCTTAGAGCCCTGTATACCTTATTTGCATGGCCCCACCCAATCACTGGTGTGGCGCTGTGGGCTAATTTGTTAGACTGCAAAGTCATTTGAACTGCAAGGTTGGTGGTTCAAGCTCACCAGCTGCTCCAGGGTTGCTATGGGTCAGAATCGACTCAATGGCACTTAACAACAACAACCCAATCAAGTGATTGATGGGAATTAAGACACTGGATAGAAAAGCCTTATCAAGTATATTCAAGGTCACTACACAGCAAAGAAGGTTGTGTAGAACATTGTCTTTGTGGACTGTGTTATTGCCAGTTGACCATGGTGTCCTTATTTTCCTGATTTTCAGCAGTAGCCTTTTATAAAAGAAAAAATAAATAAAGATGCTTTGAAAAATGTAGTTTAAAAAAAAGTAAAAAAATAGACTGGAAAGTCCATAGTGATGTGTTGAGATTATTTTTCCTTCTGATTTTAAAAATATTTTCTGTTTTCTATTATATAGATATATTGCTTTTGTAAAACATTAAAAAAATAATGATAACCTATTAAAAGCCAGCCATCTAATAATTTTTTAATAGTGTGCTCACAATACTCTTTTGTAAGTAAAGAAGGAAAAACTCCATTTAAAATAATGTTGCAAACCACTGTTTTAATGTTTTCCTCTACATTTCCTCCTGTATTTAATTTCTTTTTTCTCTTGGCCTCCACAGGAAGGAAGAGGGAGTGGTTTAAGATAGAAGATGCCATAAAAGTGCTGCAGTATCACAAACCTGTGCAGGCATCCTATTTTGAAACATTGAGGCAAGGCTACTTGGCCAACAACGGCACCCCGGTTGTGGCCACCACATACTCGGTTTCTGCTCAGAGCTCAATGCCCGGCATCAGATGACTGAAGACTTCCTGTAAGAGAAATGGAAATTGGAAACTAGACTGAAGTGCAGATCTTCCCTCTCACCCTTGCTCTTTTCACCTCTCCTCACAGGCCTCCTCTTTCCGATAAGGCATGATGGGCAATAGGGAAAGGGTGTGTTGATAATGTTGCTGTTTGGTGTTTAAGTGGTGGGGCTTTTTCTTCTCTTTTTATTGAGGGGGTGGGGGTGGGGTATGTAATTTGTAAAGTACTTTTGGTGCATGATATGTCCTTCCCTTTAAAACCCCCCTGCAATTCTCTGGAGAGAAGCAGACTGCCTTCCCTTTCTCTGCCCTGGATTCTGAAGTGTTCCCAGCCTTAGCCAGACATTTTTCTTTGATTTAAAATTTTTATTATTATTATTATTATTATTATTATTAAAAGATACCAATGTAAGAGAAAAATTCTCAAGAATTTGTCCTATAATGTATTGTTTCAGTCCAGTAGGTTGGATGTTTTTACTGTAGGCTACATTTATCTACACATTATATATTGGACATATAATATGTAAATAAATGACTTTTAGAAAGAATTTATCTTTAAGTTTTCAGGGTTTTTTCTTTTCCTTTTTTCTGATTTGGTGTCATTTCTGTAAGGGAGCCTTGCAGTTAATTTGCTTTTTGTTTTTTAAGCATCACATGATGCTAGTGGCTAGGCAAAATTCCCTGTCCTCTCCATTCCCAAGTCATTGACTGTAGTGAGGTAGGGTGCAGGAAGAGTTAAGCTACTTCAGTAGCTTTCCCAGGACTCATGGCCTTCTCATCTGTAAGTTGTGTTTCCACGGCAAGAAGAAAACAGGATGAAACCTATTTTCTTTTGTATTACCAAGCCAGTAACAAATGGCCTCATCCTAGATCCAAAGAAACAGTGATAGAAATTGAAGTCTGCCCTTCATGATGACTTAACTGTAGGAATTTGAACTGGATTCCAGGGATTACTATCTAAAGAATTCAAGCATCAAGCACCATTCAATCCTGCTGGTTTGGAATGTTTTTCATAATGCTACTTATTGCCGACCACGGCTTGTTGTCTTGTCCATCTATGCCTTACACTGTGCTGAATTGGATATTGTCCTTGTGCTCTTAACTGTGCTCTGACTGTATTTTGCAGGTACAACTGTGCAACCCTGTGCCTGTATTGGGTAACAATACACAGGGTGAATTCCGGTCTTTGCTTGTCTTTGTAATACTGCAGCACTTGTAATTGCACCATGGCGCATGCTCAGAAATATTAGACTTCGTCTCCCACTGGGTCCATCTTCTGCTGAGATGTGCTGAGAGGGTGCTCAGTCATATACTAGAATAGCTATATAATGCATTGGCTCACTGCAGAGACTCCCTTGTTGGGTTTTGATACAAGTTTCATGCTGGCATCATTTTCCAATTGTGTTGTTTAGTTGGGAAGTGAGCAGAATGGGGTCTTTAGATTGTAGGGGGTAGGGCAGGGCAGAGAAGGGCACTGATAGATCCCTGGCTTAGGACAAGAGTGTGTCACTATATTCTTAGTGGCTTCTTCTTTGTCAAAACGTAGCCAAGATGTGAAATTAAAAGCATACTTCTCTTTATTGGAAAATTATAGTACCTACTTGGACTTTCAAAAGCTTTTGCTCTTCTCTCCCACTGAAAGCAATGTAAATACCTGATAGACCTGGTAGACCTTTCATTTAGTGTTTAGGGTTTTTGGGGTCATGAGTTAATGAACTTTAAATTGTGTTGTCTGCTCTCAGTTTCCATCCTTTCTCCCAGTCTTGAAACACAATGCTGAAAAGCAGTGTTAAATGTTTCCTTAGCTTACCGTCCTACCTCTGGGAAAGGAACCACATCTCCAACCAAGTAAGGGTCCCCATGCTCAGAAACAGCACCAGGAAAGTTGTTACTATATACCAGCTCGCTGTTCACGTGTCCTACTTAAAAATGAACATATTACTGCTTGTTGCCTGACTCAGCATTCTAAGATTTTTGTCTAAAGAAATAAAGAGAAAAATAAAATTAAATAAGTGAAAAACACATTTTTCCAAATAAACTATACCTTTATGGTATGAGTTGAAATTGCTTTTCAGAAACAGTCACTGCTCCTGAAAGGAACCTGCAGTATTAATTGTAATTTGTGTGCTTTTGAATGAAGCTGAAGATATTTCTTCTAGGCTGGTGTACCAATATACTACCCCAAAAGTCCAGTTTTGATTGCTGAGGGTGGCTGTGAGTCAGGAACGTGAATGATGCCAAGAAGTAATTTCCAGTGACTTGAACGGATCCTGTGAATGCAGTTAACTGGAGAGGCTGTACTGATGGTTTGTAACAGACAACAGGAGGCATTGTCTAACACCAGAATTATTGAGAGTGGCGCTGGGATTCCAAAGAACGACACGATTCTGAACATCCTGGCTGTTTTTGCTGAAGTGTAGTCACATTGTTTTTGTGATGGATTAGTTAGACCTGTGCTTGCGATAGCCTTTATGTCTCTCCCCAGAATAAGTGTGGAGAAACATAAGAAAGCATAAAAACTACCCTACTTACAGAATAGTTCTTAGTATGGAATATTGGAGAATATTTATTTGACATAGATTTGCCATTAATTCTACCAGGACTCACCTCATTCACACTTTATGAAAACAGGTTCCTATATTTAAGGCAGGTGTAGTGTCTCTCACTCACAGTGAATTTACATATCTTGGATTCTATGATTGTAGTACCCATCAGAGTTCATCATACTCCGAAAAGAGAAAGAAATGGATTTTTTGTTGTTTTTAGTTTAAATATTACAGTCATTGGGGAAACAACAGTGAGGTGGTGATGTTTTCTTGGACCAGAACTTGTGTGTGCGTGTGTGTATGTGTGTGTGTGTAAGTGTAAGAAATAGAGTGACAAAAGAGATACAGGAATCTGCCTTGTTAGATTTTCTGTAACCTTCCAGAACATTACAACCCATGAAACAGAAGTCTTGATTTTTTACATAGCCAGCATAATAGGGTGGAAGAGTTAATGAGCTGACTGTGTTTTTGTTTTGTTTTTACAAGTGTTCATGGCCCCATCTGCCCTGCATGCAGAGGGTTCACTCACTGCAGCGTGTGAGCCGAGGCCATCTGGAGGGATCAAAGATGTGGGAGTGTCGCCCCCTCAACAACCGCAGGCCTAGAGGGTGGTGTCGCAGCAGGGTTTCCGCCCTCTGCATTGCACTGTGCAGTCCCCATGGAACTGTGAGGCCTCGCCTCGTTCAGCCTCCTGGGAGCAGAGTGAGGTCACAGCCCTCTGGGAGTATTTTATGGCAGCTTTGTAAATATGCTGCTATATAGTTAAGTTCCTTCCTGGCAAAGAAATATTTACTTAGAGTCTCCAAAGGCTTGCTTAGAAGGAAAAAGTCACCCTTTGTGGTTTTTAAAATAAGAAAAAAGTTCCAACCCTCCTCTTTTTCCTTCTTCCCTTTTCTCTTCTCCACATAACAGTGCTAATTGGAGGTTCCTCCTAAATCTCCTTAACCAGAGGCATAATCGGTGTCCTGTGAGCCTTGGGTACATGGTTCACATGTTGTGGTGTACATATTTGTCATTTCCACACTAGAGCTGTACTAACATCTTTGTCTTCCCACCTCATCGTTTTTTAAAATAAAAAATAGCTTAGCCTGAGCCACGTTCACTTTTATTAGCTCACAAAAAGCATATAATAACCACAATGTGATTTTAATATTTCTCAAATGTTTTTTTAGCCTGACTCTTTTAGTTGAGAATAAATTTAGAATTGTTGGATATAGTGGAGAAGTTTCCACAGTAGGAATTTTTGCTTTCAGGGAAATGAAAGTTGGCTATAGTTGATAATAGAGCTTCATTCTGGTTTCATCTGCACATTAGAGAATAATCCACATCTTCATAAGGAATCAGTGACATGCAGAATGATTAACTCAAGCAGCTGTTGGAGATGACTAAATAATGTAAATAGCTCTTCTCCTCCATCCCATTTTTAAGCCTCTCTAAACCTGCCAGGTGTAAGGCTCTGCAGTTCACCACACCCAGTGGAGGGAGCAGTCATTGCTTCTGAGCTCTGCTGACTTGGAGCCAAGTTCCCTGGGGCTCTGGGAGATGCCATCTCACTGAGAATGGGCAGCAAAGAACACAAGAGTCAAGTTCTGTGTCCCAGAGGAGTTCTGTGGACATACATCTCACCATCCATGACAGTTTAGGGTAGCCTCGCTTTGTACTGCCGTATAGCTGCTCTGCAGGCAGAGTGTTTTCCATGCCACTTCAAATGTCACCCAAAGCAGTGAGATGTTTGGGATTTTCAGGTAAAATACGTAAATCGAGAGCATTGTCTGCAATCCTTAAAAAAATCATTTCCTTGCATCAGGTTGTTTGAGGTCACCACAAGTCTGGGAGTTTTGCGATCCTAGGCCAGCAGCCTCCTACCCTGCCTCCACAAGGGCAGCGTCACTATTAGCCCCAGCAACACTTCCTTGTCTTCAGCTAATACAGATAAGGGCTGTGAGAAGTGTGACCAGGACATGTAAGAAAATGATGCCTCTCACTTTTAGATTAATCAAATAGTTTGTCCTCGTGGACCCCTTCAAATTTAATGACTAAAAAGAGCAAGGGAGACTCCGGTTTGGTGTTAATTCAGGCATACTCCCAAGCTCTGGCTGACAGTCACATGATTTTAGCTTTCTCAGCAACATTAAGCTTTCTGAGAAGAGGCATGCCTTTCTCCTGGAAGTTTACAACATTTACACTTGTCTTTAAAATCTGGAACCAGTCCACCTGGAGAAGGGAGCTTAAAGGGGAGCCACCTAACTCAGAATTTAGCAAACCAGAAGGGATTTCGCAAGATTCCCATCTAGAAGGTAGAAAGACAAAGCCATTGCTTCTGTTCCTTGAGCATTCCGTTGCTTAATTAATTGTGTGAAGTTTCCTTTGGTTTACATTCCCAATTCTTACCCTAAAAACTTTTTGACTTCTTATGGGGGTGTGCCACTAAAACACTGAAACAGGCATTTAAACTCCTAACAGTCTTTAAATGATATGAAAACAGCAGCGTTAGTTGTCATCTTGTTAGGGTCAACACAGTTCTACCAGGCTAGCTGTGGAGTTCTATTAATCATTGAGTCGGGGAACATAGTACTGGTTCCAAAGGAGTCATCTACCAAATTGTTTACCATTGATGAGCATTACCTTGGGGGGGGCGGGGGGGTAGTCACAGACTGTTCAACTGTAAAATAGCTCTTCTGGGTTTGAACTCCAACCAGGCAGTTAGATCATAGTCGTAGGCCTTCGGAACTCCTTGTGGGGGGGTGGGGACCAGATACATCAATCTAAATGCTGGGTATAAAGACTACACTGCCCTTTCTATAGTGCTGAGTAAAACATCTCACCTTCAAGAAACCATTTTACCTGTAAGATTTTCTGTAAATCTCTCCAGGAAGTAACTGAATTTGAGCCCTTCTTCCTGAGCATTTTCTTGGCAGATTGAAAATGTTACCTAAAGCATTGGCAGAGCTATGTAACCTCTTTCACCTCTTAATTGCTCTATTGTGGGTTGGGAAGTTTTT